CATGGAATACGGCATTCCATAAACAAGATCCATATTACCAAAGTGAGGCACATTAGGTATGGTGGTCGTAGTCATTACAGGCCTTGGGCTTCCCGGTGGAGCCTGAGAAATTTGTGCGGAACTTGTTGTAGTTGACCCGACTGGAGGAAAAGGTGCAACTTGAGAAAATACTGGATTAGTAGTAGTTAAAGTTTGTGACGGTATTTCCTCTATGTTTGGATTATCAGGAATTGTCATTCTTAATATATACTTTCTAGATGATGGTTTATTATACTCTTTGGTTAACTTTACATTTCCAAGCTGCACACACTTAAGACAAATTCTTAGCACTGTGTCCCACCGGGTGTTTTATTCTGATGTCTTGTTGTAATTGTGAAGCTGTGAATATGACGATGAATATGAAGAGATTTCAAGACGTAGTGACATGCGATGATGTATGAAAAACGATGTGTGATTTACGAGCTATATTGGCTTGGTTTGTTGATGTGTGTTGTGTCGTTGTACTTGTTGTCATAGTATTTTAGTGTTGCATGCATGTTCATAAGTGGCGATGTGGGCTTAATGGCAAGTGACGGTGTAGCCTTAATGGCAAGTGACGATGTAGCCTAAATGGAAAAGAGACGTAGTTATGGTACCACATCCATATATTTAAGGAAGTCAGTCTCGTTGCATTATGACGTTGTTGTTGAAGAGATGTGAGTTGTTGTTTATTGGGTGTGATTATTGAATGATATGGTGAATTGGCACTGATGCATGTAGTATGAATAACTGATTATGTTGTTGTACTTTACCTACTCATTATCATGTATTCATTTATATTGTTATGATATCTCACCCATTCTGTTTGAATGTTGCCTCTATGTAGGTAACACGCAGGTGACGAAGTTTAGAGTTGCTTGAGGTATGAAGTTGTGCTTCGTAATTGTCTAGATTGAGTCGGGTCTTTCTCTGATACGTAACACCGGGGATGAATGTTGTTTCATCTATTTAGTCGTTGTTGTCTTTAAAAGATTGTGAGAGTATTATAACTCTTTTTTTTTTAAATTGAGGAGATGTTGTTTATGTATTGTTGAAGTTGTAAACCAATTATGTTTTGGATGGTTTTCATTGAATTAATAAGGTGAAGTTGAATACCATGATGATTATGATGACGGTTTATCAAAAAATAATGTGTTATGTATCCATTTGTTAATGTTTGAGCAATTTTTGAGATGATGAAATGTGACATCCTATTTGATGTTGATTAGAAAATTTTAATTACTCTGATTTAATTTAATTATTCGACGGGGGGAAATAGAGTGTTACAAGCAACTCTTCTAATGAGAAAATATCGACTTCTGATCTTGGATTTGAAGCTTGTTTCTATATATGTTCGTAATATTTACTTCGTTATTAGAATTGTAAGCAACAACTCTTCTAATGAACTAGTATTGACTTCTGATCTTCTGTGTTGGAAGCTTTTTTCTTGCCTCATCTTGATTTCTGATCTTGAAGCAACAACTTATTAGAAACTCTTTCTTCTTGGACACACATTGAGATTATCTTCTTGTCGAACATACAACATTCCATAGAACTATTGATGTTACATTAGAAACATACTTCAATGGTTCTTCTTCTGAGTGATAAAGTGATTCTTATGATATCTTGATTAAGACTATCCAGAATACTAACAATGTATCTACACAATCAATGAAACTATTAAAACTAAAATTGTTCTGCATAAAATATATGCTTGTTATCATCAAAACATAGAGATTAAACACAGATCCAAATCTTGTTCTTACAGTAGATTCTTATACCTGAAGATAATAAGGATTTAAGGTTCATGTTTATTGGTCAAGTGGGGACATCTTTGTGGGAGAATGATCAAGTATTGTTGAAGGTTTCTTCTCAGGGGATAGAGGTTAAGCGGGGACATCTCTGTGGATTAACGATAGTTAATTAAGGTATTGATTGTGATTAGATATCCACTTCAAAGCATTGATAATTTGATGGACCAACTGGTAGGCGAGTATGTCTTCAGTATAATCGAATTGGGGTTAAGTTACCTTCAAATTCGGGTGATGTTATATGTGAATCCATCCAAAGTAGATACAGTCCTACATTGAGAGGCTCTGAAGTCAATTGCGAAGACTAGAAGCTTTTTGTTAATAACTAGTTATTATCGCAGTTTGTTTGAGATGAGGTCAAGTGGGATGTGTTGCTAATGAATTATTTAAGGAAATGATAATTTCGGTATTAGGAAGGATGTGAAAGTATTGGAGAAGCGCATAGAGATGTAGCTTATGCCGATTAAGAATGATTAGAGTGACAATATCTTTTACGGAAAAGAGAAGTAATGGTAAAGGTAAAATAAATTCAAGAGGGATTGGAATCATGTTTATAATGTAAACGTATCGACATGTGTCAAGGAGAATTTGGGGAGTTTCTATCACCGACCGCATAAGGGGATGGTATTATTGAGATTCCAATTGGAATTACATTCAAATGTGAAAATATATGGATCCTCGATGTTGTGATATTTAAAGGAAAACTAAGGATTTATGAATGTTGTTAAAGTCCTCTACATAGATAAAGACTTAAACTGGAACAATATGAATTGTAATGTATTTGGTATATTAGCATTATTGAGTTAGAGGATACTTAAAATTTGTGTGATGCTAAGTGAGAGAGGAGTAAAACATGTAATGTGTTTGGTCCATGGTGTCTCATCGAAGAGATCGAATGAGAAGGAAATTATGGAAACATTTATAAACCTCAAAGAAGGTTATTGGACCACGGTGCTTTAGGTGACTTTGAGAACAAGTTCTAAAGAAATGATATTATATTTTTGTAATGATGGTTTATGCTCCATCACGGTTGTCCGCTGCCTATTATCAAATTGAGGAACGAATCACCCTTAATCTCTTGTTGATAGTAAACAGGATCGTGTTGGATGGGATAAACTTATCTTTTCATCTTGATGGTATGTAAAGTGATTGACTTTCTATCGAGAGGATGGTCGTTCACCATTTTGTGTGAACCTAATGGAAAAGTGGCTATGGAAGAGTGGGGACTTATTGAACAATTTGTAGACTTGAGTTGTATGTGGGCTAACGCCATAGGGTGAAAGGTTGAGGATATAAAAAGTTGTCATACCCCAATTTTTGACCTAAGATATCACCTCCCATCTGTATCATTACATAGCAAGCGTTCACAAGCAATTCGACCTATTTTTGCAATTTCTCGAGTCAGATTTAAAAAATTCACAACTTCTTCAAATTTCGATACTTTTCAGTGTTTCTTTTACATATGATTCTCCTTTACAACATCTACAACTTTTCTTTACAAGTCAAGAGCTGATTATGTTTGAAAAGCCACGGAAGAATGAAAATGTTAGAAGTCGCTTTATGAATTTAATGGAATTTGATCATGTCTTGTCCAACCTTTCCCAAATCGTGCGTATCGCACTTTTTTTTTGTCTTTTATTTATCATTTTTGTCTTATTTGAAAAAAATCTAAAAAATATGTATTTTAGTTCATGTCACTTTTACTATCCCATTATTAGAAAAATCACAAAAATTATTTATAATGAGCATTATAGCATTTTAAATTCGAAATTCTTAATTCAAAATATATAAAAAATTATTATAGTTTTATTGGTTTCATTTAGATTTAGATTTTAGTATAGATTTTAATCCAAAAAATCTCAAAAAATATAGTTAATATCTTTTTCCTTTATTTTACATTTTTTATTCTTTTTAGTCATTATAGTTTTAGCTTCTTTTAATCCAATATTAATTTTGATTTGATTCTAATTTTAATTCAATTTTTAAAAATTAAATTAATATTAAAATTAAAATAAAATTAATTTGGTTTGCATCTTATTTTTATTATTATTATTCTTCTATTTTTATATTACTAACAAATTGCCTTTTATCATTATTATTACTATTGTCTTTGTTTTATTGTTTTATGTCCAAAACCTTGCTATTGTCCCTATCCTAACTGTCCATAAAATTCCAAATACTACACTCCAAAGTCTGCTTGCTGTACACCAAAACCAGTCCAAAAAACCTGCTATCAAGCTGTCCAAAGCTGCACCACACACCAGTTCAACAATTGCAGAAAGATGGTTAAAACAAACTACAATCAAGAAAGCATTTCAAAGAATATCACATTTGTTCAAATTTCATCAACCTTTTCCCCCCAAATTTCATATCTTCTTCTCTATAAACTTAGACTTTGTTAGACAGAAAAAAATAGACACAAAGAAAAACTAAAAAATAAACAGTAAAGGAAAGAAAATACTTAAAAACTGCTTCAGACCTTCTTCTCTCCATGGACCCCTCTGTCGCCGCCGAGTTTTTTTTTCCTTATCTCGTCGACCTTCAGCCTTCTCACGAAGGCCCCATATGCAAGTTGCTCATTCAGATAATTGAGGAGATTGGTTTTAGAGTAGCTGAGCATTCTGCTACGCCGATATCGTCACTATTCTAGAAAGTGAACTAACGAACGTGGAGCAAATGATTGTTGTTATTGGTGCTTTAATTGCTGAAGGAGAAAGAGGTGCCAAATCTCGTGAAATACTTATTTCACAGATTCATCCGGATCTGTTGGCCGGTATTGTCGTAGCTAATATGAAGCACTTGTCTAAGACACCCCCAACACTAGCAAGGTTTAAGAATCCATAAGTAACTCGACCAGTAGGTTCCCAAGTCAGTCAACACAGGTTATAATAACATCTGCTTCAACAAATTCTGTCCAATCCTTGGGGGTTTCTGCCGAAGCACAATTCCCTTTAACATGCTCTATCACATCTTGTAAACTAACATCTTCTGCTTTACATCCTCCAACATAATCAGACGTAACACTCCTCTATTTCACTACAGTCATCATAACACTATACCTATTTCTCCAGTGAAAACTTTGTTGCCACGGGTATGTTTTTTTATTGCAAGAACCGTTGTTTTTTTGTTTATTTGTTGTAAAATGTGAGGACAGAGGAGTTTTGTTTGTTGTTATTGATTTGTGATAGGATGGTTTTGTTTGAAGAGAAAAATAGCAGAAACGTGAGAGAATCGGAGATAAGAGCGTGAGAGAGAGGAATCGATGATGATGGTAATGAAGTGTGAGAGCAAGAGAAGAAGATGAACAGGGGAGTGATTTTGATCATAGAGGAATGGATTGAGAGAGGTAAAGAAGCGTGAATAGGGAAGAGAGAGTATCAAAATTTTGTTATCACGATTAAGCATAGGAAGTAGAGTTTTATTGGAAATAACGTTAACTGAATCTGTAATTTTCCTCCTCCCAACAAGAAATTTTGGTGCCTCCTTTTCCAAATTAGGGTTCCAGAAAACTCCCTCACTTCCTCATAGTAACCTGGATCCGGGTTTGGGCCTAGTCCCACCCATTTCGTGATTTTTGTGTTTTATAGTTTTTGATTAAGGGAATATAATGAATGAACAATTTGGTGTAGTGGTTGGAGCATGTAATTGAAACACGGCCTGGGTTCGATATATATATGTGTGAAGCAGTATCATTTTTTTTAATTTTTTTTTGTTTTAGACTTCAACTCAACCAATTTTTCCTAAGCCCATTCGAAACTGTTATCTCCACCTCTAATTTTATGTTTCACACCTCCTTTTATTATTAATATGGTTTAGATTTTAATTAGTAATTTTATAAGGAATTTAGTTTATATTTAAATTATTTTATATATAATTTATTAATTTTAGAGCTTTAGTAAACTTTAGAATTTTTATTTGATTTAGATTTAGTTTAGTAATTCTACATGATTTTATTTGATTTAGTTTAGTAACTTTGAAATTTTTATTTTTTTTAGCAACCTTAGGATTTTAATTTATTTTAGATTTAATTTACTAATTTTAAAAGTATAATTTTGTTTAGATCTAATTTAGTAATTTTAGAATTTTTTTTGTAACCTTAAAATTTTAATTTGGTTTAGGTCTAATGTAGTAATTTAGTTTCAAATTCTTATAATAATATTTTTTTCTTAACTTTATTATTTTTTTAATTTAATTTAGTAATCTTTTGAATGTTAATCTTTATTTAGTTTAGTTGCAAACTATAAAATTTTCATTTAGTTTATTTAATTAACTTTAGAATTTTAAGTTTAAATTAGAATTCATTTAATAATTTTTACAATGTTATTTAGTTTAGAATTATTTTAGTAACTTTAGAATTTTAGAATTACTTTTGATAACTTTAAAATTTTATTTGGTTTAGATTTAATTTGATTTAAATTTAATTTAATAACTTTTAGAATTTTATTTGATTTAGAATTTTCATTTGATTTAGAATTTTCATTTGATTTAGATTTAATTTAATAGCTTTAGAATTTTTATTTGATTCAAATTTAATTTAGTAACTTTAGAATTTTTATTTGATTTAGATTTAGTTTAATAACTTTAGAATTTTCATTTGATTTAGATTTAATTTAATAACTTTAGAATTTTTATTTTATTTAATAACTTTGAATTTTTATTTAATTTAATAACTTAGAGTTTTCATTTGATTTAGATTTAATTTAATAACATTAGAATTTTTATTTGATTTAGATTTAGTTTAGTAACTTTAGAAATTTTATTTGATTTAGATTTAATTTAATAAATTTAGAATTTTTATTTGATTTAGATTTAGTTTAGTAACTTTATAAGTTTTATTTGATTTAGATTTAGTTTAAGAACTTTAGAATTTTCATTTGATTTAAATTTAATTTATTGACTTTAGAACTTTTATTTGATTTATATTTAGTTTAGTAATTTTAGAATTTTATTTGATTTAGTTTAGTAACTTTGAAATTATTATTTATTTTAGATTTAATTTAGTAACCTCGAAATTTTAATTTAGTTTAGATTTAATTTACTAATTTTAAAATTTTAGTTTAATTTAGATCTAATTTAGTAATTTTAGAATTATTTTTTATAACCTTAGAATTTTTAGTTAGTTTAGAATTATTTTAGTAAGTAATTTTTTAATTTAATTCAAATAACTTCTTTAGATAATTAGTTACATTCTTTTTTATTTGTATTTAAATACCTCTGTCATTTTAAATTTATCGGTGCCTTTTGGTAATTAATTTGTTTCGTTAGATTTATTTTTCTTGTGAATTTCCAAATGCTTATATTTTGATGTTCATTTTATTTTGCTTGCTCGATTCACTCCAAGGGAAATAATTAAATTTGTTGACTTCATGTCATCAGATATATCTGATACAATTGTGCGAATCCCTTCACTCATTTTTTTTGTTTTACTATTTTGTCACTCTTAAGTTAATCTCCTAAAAACTCAATTTTAAAAGTCACATTTTTAAGTTTCGACACTTGGTCGTCATATCTTCAAAATTTCGTCCATACCCATTTTTAGCCAAACGAACCATTTTTATCAAACAAATAATTTAAACCAAAAAACAGATATTTCAAAAGGTTCCTGCGGAGTACCGCAGATGCATTGAGTGCTAATACCTTCCCATTGTATAACCAACCCCCGAACTCTCGATCTCTTTTAAAAACACATTGTATTTTCATTACTTTTAAATATTACTTTACATTGCATATTATAGGGTTTTATTTCGCTCTTTTCCCTTTTCCCTTGGAAATAATAAAGCGCGGTGGCGATTCTTGCTTTTGTGAGTCAAGTTAATTAATAGCTTGATCTCCGATTTTCACCGCTACAAAAGTGAACAATAATTTCTGGTGGAGGTTAACGAGAGTCAGAAGCTATATGTGAAACTTGTAGATCTGATGGTTGAAGAAAATCAAAATGAGGACAATGACCTTAAGGTAGATAATCAGAGTGGTGCAGCTGAAGCGTTATGTGGTGTAGTTCGTTACGCGTGAGTGACTTATTAGGAGTCAATGGTTAAACATTAGAAGCCTAAGGGAATCATGCAAACCAATGGTCATTCCATAATAGAAGTCATAGGTGAAAGGTTTATATATTATGCATGTTACTGCCATGTGTCGCGTTTGGGATTTTTATCGAAGCTCGAACGGAAGAAAAAGATTGAAGAGTCGCCATCAATGTTATTTATCCCAAGAGAGGGAAAGGAAACACTGAGTCAACCTGAGAGAAGGAAAGAACATGGTCTCACAGCCAAGAGAAAGGGTAAGGAAGTCGGTTATGCGAGGGGAATGTATTAGCACCCGTCACGTCTGTGATACTCCATAGGATCCGCTTAAGTTTGTTCTATTCTATGCCTGTGGCTCTGTTACCCAGTGGAGTTATAATCTCTTCCTCTGTGGGATTACTTTATCATGAGCTTAGTTTCTCCAGCAGTAGTTTATCTCATGTGGCGTCATTCCCCATAAAATTTATAGCATTACATTCATATCATATCATACACATCATTATGGAATCTTAGGACCAAAAATTGTGTATTATATATTTAAGTATCTTCATTCTCGTGGAAACGAAGATTTCAATCTTACCTCTTTACTAAAAAATTATCAAAAATATGTTCTTTTAGTAATTTAAATTTATATATTGGTATCATTTATTTCAAACAAAATCTAGAAAAATCTATATAAGTCCTTTTACTTTCTTATATGTATTTTATTTTTTATCTTTTAATTTACACTTATATTTTCATTTATTTTAATTCAAGAAAAAAAATCATAAATAGTTAATTTAATGTCTCTTTTATTTTCCATTTTGTATTTATTATTATTACTAACATTTTTAGTTTTTTTATTATTATTATTATTATTATTATTATTATTATTATTATTATTATTATTATTATTATTATTATTATTATTATTATTATTATTATTATTATTTACTTTGTCCTTTTGTTTTTTGTGTCAATAAAGAAAAGTTGGAACCACTATAATGTAGTACAAATACTTCACATGGATTGCCAACTTATACTTATCAATGGCCAAGAATCATTCTCACACTTCACATGGATTTTCAACTTGGACTTATCAATGGCCAAGAACCATTCTCATAAAGTCACATGGATTTCCAAATCAATACTCCCACTTCATTCACCTTATAAATAAGACCTATCTTTCTTTCATTTGGAGAGACAATACCACAAATCATTCACTAAACTAAGTCAAAACTCTCTTATATTTTCTCTCTTCATTCTCTTTCAAGTCATTTCTTCCTTTTATTGAATAAGTAGGCTATTATACTTGTTCTTTATTTAATTCTATTGCATTTTTACTTTTTATTTATTTATTTAGTACCATAATTATCACCATTTTGGAAGGAAACTCCATTGATTCAAAATCAAGAATTGAAAAGTGTTTTTAAACCTCCAAAAGCAAAAATAATTTATTATTGTTTAATTTTCATTTTTTCTGTAATTTTTTGTTGTTTATTTACTTATTTTGAGCATGGATCCTTGGTCGTGAAATTGAGTTGATAAAATTTCATTATTCATTTGTTTAATTTCCTGAAAAATTGAGAAAATTATGACATTTATACTATTTTTATTATAGACTTCATCTTATTCTTCTTTATCTATTTTATTTTTATTTTTATTTGGATCAATTTAGAAAGCATTTGAGATTTTTTAAGTTCATCTAAGCTTTTCAAATATTTGATGAACTTTCATCATTTTCAATCTACCTTTAAATGGTTCTTTAATCATTCAAGGTACTCGGGATTGATGATAAATTTGTCATAATGTATCTTCTTTGATTTTGTTTTGATCCTCCGTGTTTGTTAATTGTACTACACATATAAGATAATGAACTTCAAAGTGTCATTTCTCTAATATGGATGGGTACACACATTCTATGCTCCATATGAAGTTACACTTATCTCAAATCAGATTATTAACTTTATATTGTACTAACTTTACTTTAATATCATTTATATTTTCGCACTTTATATTTTCATCTCTTTGCTTTTATACCATTTATCATCCATAGCATTTTATTTTCTTTACTTTATGCATTTTTTCTTTGCTCACTTGAGCATTTATCTTATCTTTGCTCACTTGAGCTTCTTATTTTCTTTTGCATGTTATAAGCCACTTAATAAAGAAAAAAAACTAAAATTGGTTTTTTAATCCTTGGACTATGGTGACTATCCATTTTTATCTGATGAATGGTTCTTGTCCGGTCTTCATCTGATTATTATATTTGTGTTTGAATCCAAGGGAATAGATCGTCTCGTTGCATTTTCAAAACTTCTCATCTCCCCGATCCTTTTTGCAAACAAACTTTTTAACCAAAAACACAGATATTTCAAAAGGTTCTTATAGGATACTATAGAT